TGTGTGTGTGTGTGTGTGTGTGTGTGTGTGTGTGTGTGTGTGTGTTTAAAATTGTAAAGACACTGCCAAATGGCCAAGGGACATTGTCTGAGTTGCTGCCCCAACTGCGGCATGAGATACGTATTTCCTTACACAAGAGGAAGCCTGGACATAGAGGAAGCCAGTCCTATCTGCCATTCAGTGAACAAATATTTATTAACCAGGTTCTGGGCCTAGGCCCCTTGCCAAGTGCTGGGACCACGCTGATGAATGGGCTTTGTCCTTGAGCACAAGTGAAGGGTGCGGGGCAGGCAGACGCATAAACACAGTGCATTACATAGGGATGTGTGCTATTAATAGCAGAAGGAAAGGGCAAGGGCACGGAGCCTCACAGGCTGGGGCTTGGATTTGCCTTCTCTCACATGGCTGAGCGGCCTTGGACAAATTCCTTGCCCTTTGGGAGCCTTGGGCCCCAAGCCTGGGACTTTTTGTGCTTGCTGCTGGGGAGTCCCCTCTCGCAGACATTCTCTGGGGTCTCATTTCCGCTGTCCAGGGCCTGAGTCAGTATCAAATGTCTGTTCAGAGAATGTTTGAGTCTTGTCTAAACCTGGATTAAAGAAGCCAGCTTCAAGCCTTCAGGATAGAAGGCCTTTCTGACGAAAATACTTCCTACTGGCCTTTCATGTTTTTCATTCAGCCAAGCCAGCCAGCAAATAAGCATTTGATACCTTCTCGGAGTGAGGCCAAGTCCCTGGGTGAGGCCAGTCGCGAAGTGCTCTGCCACTAGCCAAAAGGTTGGTGGTAGAAAGCCAGTCGGAGGGGCCTCAGAATGGGACCGGCCTGCCGGCTGATCTAACTCCAGAAGTATGAACAACCATTTCCCTAAGGGATGGCCAGCGATGTCGTTCCTCCGTAGGCTTAAAACTAATAAAGGATGACGAGAGGGCCAAACAAATGCATCATCGATGGCAGACTTCTAGGCTCCACCGGGCGGTTCACAGGGGAGAGGCCCGTCCTGGGCGTTGCTCCCCCAGGCTGGCATTCTCTTTGCCCAAACCAGATAGGCGAGGATAGGACCGCAGCTAATAACCATCATGACTAACCTTGTTTGGGCCTTTTAGCCATCTGTGAGGCAGGAGGAGGAAGTCTTCGGCCTACATGAGAGAAACAGGCTCAGAGAGGAAAGGGGAAAAGGGAAGAGGGATGTCGCGAGCCTGGTGCTCTCCTTCTAAAAGTCCGCAGCCTCCAGCGCCGCTCGGCTGTCGCCGGGAGTCAGATTCCACTCCGTGGCAATCAGCAGCAACAACTGAGTTAGACGTGGCTTTTCACCGGGGGCTCTGTGTCTCGAGGCTCTGTCTGGGGAGAGGGACGGAAGGCAGGCATAGTTGACTGTGACCAGTGCTACTGGGCCCTGGGTCTGGGCTGCGCTGTCTCTGTCCTCATCATTTGGGCCTCCTGCTCTGTCCCCGGCTTTTGTCCAAGCGGTGTGCAAAGCACTGAGATGTCGGAGGAAGCCTTTCCCATTGCCCGTGTCTACCGTCTCTGGTTCAGACCGAGTTAGAGCTTTGCCTGGTGTGAGGAACTCGGCACTGACCTTCAGAACGCCTCCCTGCTTTGTGTCTGTTCGTCATTGCGCATCCAAGGCCAAGTCAGGCTGGCGGGTGGTGAAAATGATCTGAAATGTGGGCCCTCTGGGTCTGTTCAGGAGCTCTGGTGGCGTAGTGGTTACGTGTTGGGCCGCTACCCGCCAGGTCAGCAGCTGGACACCACCAGCGTTCCTGGGAGAAAGTGGAGGCATTCGACTCCTGTAAAGAGTTGCAGTCTGGGAAACCCAGAGGCAGATCTACTCTGTCCTCTTGCAGAGTCACCGTGAGTCAGGATCGATTCCATGGTAGTGAATTTGGGGGGACTTGGCGGTACTATTCAGGTGCCCTGGTGGCATAGTAGGTCAATAATTTGCCTGGGCGAACCCACTGGCCAACCCAAGGGAGAAAGACAAGGCTTTCTGCTCCTGTAAAGATTGGCAGCCGCGGAAACCCTCAGTGGGTAGTTCTCCTGTCCGGTAGGGTCTCTGTGAGACACAATACCTCACGGCAGTGGGTTCAGCTCTTCAGAAAAGGTAGAAGAAGACAGGTGAAGGAGGTTGTGCCTGCAGGGTGGGGGACCCTTGCTTAATGACAGTGATTTGCAATGAAAAGGGAAAGGGCTAGAGGTTTGGATTTATGGTTCATCTTCTCCAGGGATTGTTTCAGGAGCTGGAGAACACATTTGGAATTAAAGCCACATCGTTTTAAAGACAGAAACAAAACCCATTCCCTCCCATCTAACCCTCAGCCAGTCCACAAGACCTGCCACGGAGCCGAGAGGCATGTTGCTGATGCTGCCCCAGGGTCAAGAGAAAGGGACTCACACATACGAAGGGGCTTCAAAAAATTCATGGGAAAATGGAATTAGAAGAGAAGAGGAGGGGGTTTCCACCAACTGTGTGAAGCCCCCTCCCATGATCACAAGGCTGCAGGCACGAAGGTCTTTGGGCCAGGGAGCCAGCAGTCAGGAGAGGGAGACTCTCACAGTGTGTTTTTTTATATGCCTGGGTTGTTTTTTGTTCCTGATTTTTGTCATTGACAGGCACTACCCATTTAAACACATACAACGGACTCTGAATTCTGTCCTATGCAGTTTCCGAGAGTTCTGGCGAATTTGGAAGTAATTCTATTGCCCCTCCCCCCGCCTCCATGTCAGTGTGGTTGGAAGGACGGGGTGAGGGCTCAGGATGCCCTGCCCATCATTTGGAGCTCCATAGAACACACCGCCCCAGTCTTGCCTGCCTCCAGGAGAGAGTACCCTTGGACTGGCCTCTGCCTCGCCCTGAACCTCCATTCCACGCCTCGAGCGTGTTTAGCAGAATCCTTAGGTGATGTAGGCAGTTCTCAGGCCTGACTGCTAATGGAAGATTAGAGGTTCTCATCCACTCTGCTCTAAGCATGCTTTAAGAAAAATATACAGTCTTGGTTCCCTTTGAGGATGGCTCCACCCATCCAGGTACAAGCTGTTGGGAATGTAGCCAGACCAGCAAGTAGGACTGGAAATTCCTTTTTTCTTTGCAAGAAAGTAAGGGTCAATCAATTTATCAGGTCCCCAAATCCTTCAAGGTCTCCCTAATGACAGCCCTAATACTGAGCTAATGCGTGAGTATCACCTGCCAAGCTCTGTATGCACAAGACCTGTGTTACACTCCATTCTTTAAATCTTCAGAGCAGTCGGATAAGGCAGTACAGAGAGGTTAAGCAATTTGCCCAGGCTTGCACAGCAAGTGAGTGTGGGCACTTACTGAATCCTATTCTGTGACACTCCTCGGTAATAAGCCCTGTGAGCTCTGTGATTCACACATTGTGGACTTCGTACTTGCTTTACATGGGCCTATCAGTACCTCCCAGTGCCCAGCCTCAGGAGCGAAGGCATTTTAGCCTTCCAATACCTGTCTAGTGGGAGAGACCATCTCAGATAGCCAGCAAAATGTGGGAAAGAGTGACTGCTTTATTTTTAGGATGGAAGGAGCTTTCCAAAGAAGGGACATTTGAGTTGGGCTTCAGCCTGAGTGGACGAGTAGGAGTTCACCAAGAAGAAAGAATGGCCCAGTGCGGGGCAGTGGGAAAGGGCATCCCAGGCACCGGAACCACAGGAAAACATACGCAGACACCAGGCACATGTTGGGAATGGCACGTGGCTCACAGAAGCTGGGTTCGGGGGGTGTTGGGAGGCCGACACGAGCTGAGCCCCAAAGAATCGGGACGTGATTCCCTGGGCAGAGAGAGTCAGGGCCACAAACTTAAATAGCTGCCTGTGTAGAGAGGAGGGCGGTCAGGAGGGGCCCCCACGTCAGTGGTAAAGGTGGCCCACCTTTCTGGGGAGAAGCTTCAAATATGGTGGCCTCTGTCATTCTCCCTCTCAGCGCCTTTCTCCAGAGGGGAAGGCTAGGGAAGGGGATGACCTCCTGGTATCATTGCCCACCCCCCCTTATGTCTTATATCTGCATTGTTTCTTCCAGTCTCTGTCTGCTGCTGCCTCTTCATCCTCTTCCTCTTCCTCTCGGAGCTCACCGGATTCATAACAACGGAAGTGTAAGTCAGGCCCCCTGGGGGGGCCGTTGTGGGGCTCTCTGGGGACTCCAGACAAGAGGGGGAGCCCGAGTAAAAGGAGAGTGCCTCAGAACCACCAGTGTCGGCTTGTGATATCGGGGCTCTTCTGCTTCTTGAAAGGCTCTTTGAAAGTCCCAGTCTGAGCGCACATGGCAGCCCAGCCCGAGGGCTAGAAGGGCTGGTAAGGATGGACCTCATCTGCTCACCTGTCCTGGGCCTTTGTGTGGCCAGGGGGCTTTCCCCCTCTGAGTCATCACAAGGTCATTGGCCAGTAGAGCCAGCAGAGTTCTGAGAAGCAGGCACAGGGGGGCAAGGCTGATGGTAGCAGAGCCCAGCCCCTCAGCAAAACTTTCCCCCCTTTCCCAGACCCACACTCAGCTAGGGATCTGTGGGGACGTCCAGACAGCACTTGACTCGGGGTGGGCCCAGCCCGGATGCCAGAATCATTCATTGTCTGGATACGCCCGTGAATGAACTGGGCCATGCGTGACACAGGGTGAAGGTCCTTGGGATCATTCAGCCCCACCTCCATCTGGAGCGGGAATCAGAGCCAGAAGCTTCCTGCCCCAGCCACTGGCTCCAAGCTTCGGAGCCTCTTAATTCTTGTGTTTACAATCCAGCATGTCATCTTGGGAATGGGCCCTGGCCATCCCTCCCCTACTCCGCACTGGAATTTTCTCTTTCACTCATGGAATTCCTCGCTTTCTTTGGACCCTCCTCACAGCCTCAAGGTAACAGGAAACAAAAAACACAGACACTTCTCCCAAGATGCCCCTGGTTGCTATACAAACGTGACTGCTCAATCCTCATACAGCCTGGGGAAGACACTATTCTCTCTTGACAGGTGGGGAAACAGGCTCACACCACCCACAGTCACACCGTTAGAGCTTGCCCATCTCCAGAGCCCATGCTCTGAGCCCACTAGGAGGCACAGACATGTGACAGCAGGCAGGGAGTGCTGCCTGAGCCCCAGTCACACCCCAGACACTGGACAGGAGGCTTTACAAGATACAGGCAGAAGAATAGCATGTGCAAAGGCCCTGGGGCAGGCCTGAACTGGTGTGTGTGTACATGCAAAACAAGTTTGGTGGAGCTGGGACAGGTAGCAAGCAGGAGAGGATAGAGGACAGTGGCTGGAAGCAAGGTGGGCCATGCCTGTGCACTGCCATGTCTTAGTCTGGGAATCAGCCAGGAGCTCCAGGGAGCAGGGACCAACCCAAACTGAACCACTGCCGGGAGTCAATTCCGACTCCTAGCGCGCCTGTGTAAGGTTTCTGAGACTGTAGACCTAAGTGGAGCAGGAAGCCTCGTGTTTCTCCCAAAGAACAGCTGATGGGTTTGAGCCACCAGCCTTCCGCTTAGCGGCCCCACACCTAGCCCGCACCACTACCGGGCTGCCGAAGAGAGCACAGGCAGATCTGCTCTATGAAAGGCTGTGTGTCATTGCTCAGAGGGGCTGACAATGCCGTGGTGGAAGCAGACCGGCAACAAGGAAGCAAGACTAGACTGTCCAGTCGTGATGCATGCTCTGGGGCAGGAAAGGATAGATTAGGGAACTCAAGACGAGGGCTATTTCGTGAAGTTAAACTAGGTTGTTTACCAGAAAGCCGTCTAACAGGCTGCTGATCCTATCTAAGTCTCAGCCCTTCATATTTATTACCCATTTAGGGAGCTCTGGTAGCAGAGTCGGTTACGCTTTGGCTGCTACTAACCCCAGGGTCAGCAGTTCAAACCCACTGGCCACCCCAAACAAGAACCATGAGGTCTTTGCTCCTGAAAAGATGTATAGCCTCTGAACCCCCAGTTCTACTCTGCCCAATAGATTCACTGGATGTTCAAATGGACTCCACGGCAGTGGCTTTGGCTGTTTTGTTTTCAGCTCCACAAAGGTTTCAGGCCACCCAGCACGTGGCGTGCAGTACATGCTCAGTCAAACCCCAAGGAGCGCAGTTCTGCTCCGACAGACACCGGGGATCCATGAGCCGGAATTGGCCCCAAGGCAACTGATTAAAATATGGGTTTATGTCTCCCTCTCTCCCCCACCTGCCTCCTACTAAGGGTGTTGAGGGGTAACTTATTAAGCCATTAGTGAGCTCAGCCGATCATGAGGCAGGGTGCTTTCCCTGCACATGGGACTCTTCACTCCATAACGTGTTTCTGACATCAGAGCTTGAGCACCTGCAGGTGCGGGCTCTACCTGCCATGAGCCGGCGGGTCTGGGGAAGGACCGTTTTTAGCCTGTTCCTTTGCCAAGGGCACGGCTTGTGCATCCCTGGAAAGTTGCCATGTTCCCTCCTCAGGAGCGTCCCCTTCCTCGCTGTGGGACATGCTGGGGGCCCTTGGTCACACCAAGCCCCGGAGAGCAGGAAAGATGAGGGTGTGGGCAGAGTAAAGACATGAGGGCCGGTTCAGGATTGTCTGACCTGTGTCCAGCCAGCCCTTTGCTAAGTGCTTCAAAAATTACTCAGCGCTCCAAATTAACAACGTTTGCACTGTCGTCCATAATGCAGGCTAGTGTGGTGTTTGCTTAAGCAGCCCCCCTGAATCGCCCCCGGGACTGGACAGAGGGAGGACGTGGCCAGGAGAAGAGACCTGTTATGAGCCCCGGGGGCCAGAGGCTCCTCTGGCGAAGATGGCTTTTTAAAAATCATTTTATTGGGGGCTCTTATAGCTCTTATCACAGTCCATCCATCCATGGTGTCAAGCACCTTTGTACATATGATGCCATCATTTACTAAACACTTTCTTTCTACTTAAGCCCTTGGTATCAGCTCATTCCACTCCCCTCCTTCCCTCATGATTCCTTGATAATTTATACATTATTTTTTTCATGTCTTACACCGACCACTGTCTCCCTTCACCCACTTTTCTGTTGCCGGCCCACCTGGGAGGGGGTTATAAGTCGATCAGTGTGATCGCTTCCCTCTTTCTTCCCCCACCACCCCCTCACCCTCCTGGTATCATTATTCTCATTATTGGTCCTCAGGGGTTTATCTGTCCTGATTCCCTGTGTTTCCAGCTCTTATCTGTACCTGTGTACATGATCTGCTCTAGCC